CCTGCGGTTTGAGTTGTTGAAAAACTAGAAAAGCTTTTCACAAGCTCCAGTTCATTGATCATTTATTGTGTGTTTGTTAACTGTATGATTTAGGTGGTAAGTTATTTTGGATATGTGATGTATTAATGTACGAGGTGAAAACTCAAAGTAATAAATAAAAGCTTATTAAAACTCAAATTCACCCTCTGGGAGGCCGAAAGGGTAAAAAGGATTCCCACAATTCCTCTGCCCGCTCTGCCTGAACACTGAAGAGTAAACAGAAAAGTGACAGAGCATGTCAACATAATATAAGATAAAATATAAGTAATCAGAAGTGGACGTGAAATGGTCTGTGGCTCTTTGCTGCCCTCTGGCGGCCAAAGTGCGTTACTAAAGTTTAAACCTGAGATACGTTACGTTAACATTTTAAAATGTTTATGATAGATTTAAAAAAAGACTGCTTGTCTCCTGCAGTGTGACAGAAAACAACCAGTAACATATAAACTTACCTAAAAAACCTACTGAGGAATAAAATCTAAACGTTCACTCAACAAATACACAAAAAAAGCTTAGAAAATAAAACAAACAACAAACAGCTGCTTATGTTATTGCTGGTTTTTGTGAGTCCAATACTAAGATTATTTTGCTTGAAGATGTTGTTCAATATTTAACACAAACTAAACTCAAATGTACCACGACGGAGGATTAGAGCCACGTTAAAACTTCTTTTTTTTTTTAATTTAGAGATTAAAGTCGTAAATTTACGACTTTAATCTCTAAATTATTATTATTATAATTATCATTATTATTTTTAACGTGGCGCTAATCCTCCGACGTACAAATGTAGTCAATCTGGAAATTTAAAAAATATATAAAATACACGATACAGATTGATCTTAAACGTAAGAGGACCCTCAAAGGTATGAAAAAGTGAAATGCAACGAAGCTCCTCAGTATTGTAGAAGAATATAACTTACTTCTTTAGTTGTTTATTTTGTGTATTTATCATAATTATTTCAATTCCTGTATTTTTTGTTATTGTCTATACGATTTAATTCTTAATTTATTTTCAGAAATCTAAATGTCATGTTGTGTGTATATGTAGTATATGCATTTTTGATAAATAAAAAACCTTACAAACGAGGATTAAATTAACATGTTATATATTAATATGTTTTCCACCCTGTAGGCGGCGGTAGTGAGCGCACGAGATTTTATACCTACATAAATATACACAAAGAAGAGGAAGAAGCGTCTTCTTCGTGGCTCCTGTTGTCGCAGCAGTGTGTCTGACTGATGTTTAGGACCCAAAACTTAAAGTTATCAATGAATATTTAAATATTGCGACTTTAACAAAGAGGAGGATCTTCTGCTTCACGTGTTCCAGAGATGAAGTGAGTGTTTAAAACTTAAATCAGAAAATATCCACACAGACACGAGGAAGTGTTTCTGATAGCCTCATTAGCTTTTTATTGTTTACATTTTAACTGAACAACAAAATGTTTATTTAAATATGAACTGCAGAAGAAGAGTTAACAGATTCTACACTGTGTGTGTGTGTGTGTGTGTGTGTGTGTGTGTGTGTGTGTGTGTGTGTGTGTGTGGTGTGTGTGTGTGTGTGTGTGTGTGTGTGTGTGTGTGTGTGTGTGTGTGTGTGTGTGTGTGTGTGTGTGTGTGTGTGTGTGTGTGTTCAGGCTCAACATAGATGGTCTGTTGGTCTACTTTCCATATGACTACATTTATCCTGAGCAGTACTCGTACATGCTGGAGCTGAAGAGGACTCTGGATGCGAAGGTGAGTTAGTGATGACAAACAACACACACACATACACACTGTGTGTTGTAATGTAACACACAGAGATACATCACAACACTATAACATCATAGCACATCCTGCAGTCCCCCTCTCTCTGTAAGGTTGAAATGCTTGTCTGTGGTTATGTCTATATGTAGTTTAAGTTTATTTAGCAGGATGGGACACAAAGAATACAAACAGGTTTCTGTCTGTTGTATTATCTGCAGCTCGTGTCTCTGACTCGGCTTTTAGGATTAATCAGAAGCATTAGGGGCGCTGGTGGTGCAGTGGTTAGGGTGTGTGCCCCATGTATGGAGGCTGTAGTCCTCCAAGCGGGCGGCCCAGGTTCAAATCCGACCTGTGGCTCCTTTCCTGCATGTCATTCCCCTCTCTCTCTCTCTCTCTCTCTGATTTCTGACGGTCCTATCTCTCCAATAAAGGCACAAAATGCCCAAAAATACATCTAAAAATGTTTTAAATAAATCAGAAGCATTCGACTTCATAATGATGTAGCGATGCTTTAAGAACACAGATGTTATTATGCAAAACAAGTAAGAGATTTATTTGACAGTAAAATAAATATTATAAGAGGAAACAGTCAACGCTCACACACCTGCTTCAGTTTCAGCCACAGTTTGTGTTAAAGGTTAAAACGTTGATGTCGTCAGTCGTTGAACATTCACATGTGCCAGTTTTTTTTACATTTTGTTATCTTGTCTACATTCTGTAAGTCCTGTTTTGCTCTATTTTTTATGTTTTCAATATTTTTATGTTATTTTCAAATTGGGTAAATTTTATTTGTGATGGTAAATATTCTTACTTTGTTATTTTTACTGTATTTTATTTTAACTTTGTTGAATCTCTTAAGGTGAGGTTTTGAGATAAGCCCTCACCTGCAAATGTGTTTTATTTTTTATTTGTTTCATTTTCTGTTTGATTCTTCTTTCAAATAAACTAAACTAAATGTCAGAAGGTAACGTGCTCCACACTCGTGTTCTTCTTACTGAGAAAGATGACTAAACCAATGTAGTTCTCTGTTTTAGTGCTCTACAGTTTCCTCCTGATGATGAACGGATTTCTGATCCATTATTTTCCTTGCCTGTTTATTTGATGACCCTTTGGGTTTACCGGATCTGTTCACAGTTTTCTCTGTTTGGCTCTAAACAATGCTTATTTCCTCACATACATTTTTAAGGAGCTTCAGAAGCGCTCATTATTTTCCTTTCTGCAATGACCCGACACAGAATTCCTCCTTTCTAAAATCAAGATTGTTTCTTCAGGAGTAACTACATCATACGTGTTTTGTTTTCATCAATGCTGTTTCTGTTCAGGGTCATGGAGTCCTGGAGATGCCTTCAGGAACAGGGAAGACCATCTCTCTGCTGTCTCTCATCGTAGCCTATCAAAAGGTGAGTTGACCTCCTGTGGGCTTCTTTTGGTCATCTGCTGCTTCCCACCAGCGAACACCACAAAAGCTCCTTTTCATGGTACGATCTCTCTCTCTCTCCAGGTGTTTCCCCTGGAGGTGACAAAGCTGATCTACTGCTCGAGAACGGTCCCCGAGATTGAGAAGGTGAGTCGGTGTTAAATGAAAATCACACTCAGTGAAAGAGAATGTAGAAGTTTAATCTCAGCAACAACACTTTGTCCTGTCTTACTTTCTCTTCTGTTCTAAAAAGATAAATTAAATCTAATCATATTTTTGATCTGCTGTGTGAGCAGGTCGTGGAGGAGCTGAGGAAGTTGATGGAGTTTTATTCCAAGCAAACTGGACAGAGCAACAACTTCCTGGCTCTGGCGCTCTCCTCCAGGAAAAACCTCTGCATCCACCCCGAGGTAAAAACAGCAGCTGGACGTACAACACTGCGAAACACGATCGTGCAAACATGCACTTTTAAAGCTGACTAAGCAATAAATCAGCCTTAATCTGACTTCTTGATACAGATCCATGCTTTCTGACCTGCTCTGGTCTGAAGGATTTAAATCAATATTTCTCTACTTTGACTCTGACCGTGATCGTCTGCTTCTCTTCAGGTGAGCGCTCTTCGCTTCGGTAAGGAGGTTGATGGGAAGTGCCACAGTCTGACAGCATCGTACATTCGAGCGCAGCGCCACAGCAACCCTGACCAGCCTGTGTGTCGCTTCTACGAGGTGAGAAACTCTCTGAATTCATCCAGAACAGAACAGAATTTTATAAGTGAAAGAGACCGAGGCAAAGGTCAGAAAATATCCTCAGTCACACATATCAACCTGAGTGAGCTTCTGGAGAGGATGACAGTGTTTCTTTAAGTATTCAAAGTTTAAAATGTACCAACACATTCTATAAATCTATATATATATATATATATATATATATATATATATATATATATCTCTCTCTCAGTGTTTCCCCTCGGTTTACAGTGTTGGGGGGGTGGGGACAAGCCGACACGACGACACAAACACTTGAAGGAATCTTGGTGTTCATGCTTTACTTTTAATGACAGATGTCCTTTTCTTTCGGAAAGGTATCCTTAAATGATTCTTTCCCTGATTTCCGACTCTATCCACTATCCTATCTCTACAATAAAGGCACAAAAAGCCCAAAAATAAATCTTTAAAAAATATATATATATATATATATAATGGTCGGGGAAACACTGTATATAATATGTATAGAATAAGTACATTTATGTTTGTTAAACAATATGTCAAAATAAACCCAGTGTTAAGGCTTTAAAACAGACTCAAATTATTATCTAATAATTCATCTGTAGGTGCATTTTGTGTCATCAACTGAAGTGATTCAAACTTAGTTTTTCCATCTCTGCATGGGTTTGATAAATTCACCTTCACCTTCATCACTTTGCATCATCTAATCTGTAAAGTAGCTGGATATGAGCTCTGACCGAGATGTTTTATTAACTTCATGTGAACGATGTATTTGAAGACTGTGAGACCATCATTTACATCAGAAGCTCCCTGCAGCACCATGGCAACCACACCCGGTAACTGATATCAATCTGTTATCTATTATAGGAGCACTGTTACCGCTGTGTTAGGCTCTCTCACTAGGATAAAGTGAACAATAAGAAGAACTCACGTTACATGTTGTCGAGCTAAAGGAGAGAGTGTCTGGTTACCAGACGTCTTCTGAATGAACTTTCTATGGTAGAGTTCCCTGAACTATTGACGGCTGGTTTTAAACTGGGAACATCGAAATGAATCTTTTACTCAAACGCCTGACCTCTGACCTGTGACCTCTGACCTGTGACCTCTGACCTGTGACCTCTGAAAGGGCTCAAACTGACTGTGAAATGAAACATAACTCTGTTAGAGTCAAACGTCCCATCAGGTGCAGATTGAATGTGATGTTACCTGTATGTGTTCACACTGGTCTGCTGTGTTTGTGTCCATGAACTTCTCCTGTGATTGTTTTTCTTTCTGTCTGCAGGAGTTTGATGCTGTGGGCCGACAGGTTCCTCTTCCTGCTGGCATCTACAACCTGGACGACCTGAAGGACTTTGGCAGGAGGAAAGGCTGGTGTCCGTACTACATGGCCCGTTACGCAGTACGTTACCCCGCCGTCAAGTATTTAAAGTTTTGTCATCAGGAGGAACTTTTCACAACTGCTGAAAAACAGAGTCAATGTTTATGGAGAGATATGAGAATATTTGAAGTTGTGGGTAAAGTTTCTCTGAGTTTGTCCCGTCTGCTGTCTTCTCAGATCCTGCACGCTAACATTGTGGTGTACAGCTATCACTACCTGCTGGACCCTAAGATCGCCGACATGGTGTCCAAAGAGCTGTCCAAGAAGTCAGTGGTGGTGTTTGACGAGGCTCATAACATAGGTGAGGAAGGAGGTTCACTTTATTTCAATTTTAATAAATCAATGAATTCATTACAAAGCATCATACAGATCGTCAAGTGTTTCATGTCTTCTTACATTTTGTTGTTTTTCATCCCTCTGCTCTCCGTCTCTCGTTTCTTGCTCAGACAATGTGTGCATCGACGCCATGAGTGTGAACATCACCAGACGCACACTCGACCGCTGCCAGACCAACGTGGACACGCTTCAGACCACCATACAAAAGTACACACCCATATTTCCTTCACAAGCTTTCTTATTATCTTCACAGCAGCCTGAATAGAAAGTTAGCCACCTTCCAAATCACTTTCATTTCGTCTGACAGGATAAAAGAGACAGACTCTGCTAAACTGAAGGAGGAGTACAGCCGGTTGGTGGAGGGGCTGAAGGAAGCCAATGTTGCCAGGGAAACAGACGTCTACCTCTCGAACCCTGTGTTACCAGATGAAATTCTCAAAGGTACGACCATCAGCCAGATATAGTCAAAACTAGATAGTCTCTGGTTTTATTCTTCATCATCATAACGCTGATCACTCTGCCGTCGCTCTCTCAGAGGCCGTCCCCGGCACGATCCGTACAGCGGAGCACTTTGTTGGGTTCCTGAGGCGTTTCCTGGAGTACCTGAAGTCCCGCCTGAGGGTCCAGCATGTGGTGCAGGAGAGCGCCCCGCAGTTCCTCAAAGACATTTTTGAGAAAGTCTGCATCGACCGCAAACCGCTAAGGTCAGAATCAGTTAATCACCTCAAAACTCAACATCTGTTTTATAACCACAGTTTGAGCTTCAACTCTCCGGACTAACCAGGTCTTTAGACGGTCTTCTCCTCAGTTTCTCACTCCCTTCTTCTTCTCTCATCTTCTGTGTCTCTCCAGGTTCTGTGCGGAGCGATTACAGTCGTTACTACGAACTCTGGAGATCGCAGACATAGCAGACTTCTCAGCTGTTACTCTCATCTCCAGCTTTGCAACTCTGGTCAGCACCTACAGCCAAGGTACAAAAACACTCTGTTCATTTTTCAGTTTAAATAAATCTCATCCACTTTGATCATGTCTATAAACCCCTCTATTTCAGCCCTGCTCAGAACAGGCTGTTTCTGTGTCTGTACCTTTAAATATGTAAATGAGCTGTGTCTGACCACGCCCCCTCTCTGGAAGGGCTTGGGTGTACTCGGTGCTTTCTCTCTCCATGTCCTATTGTTTACGGGGAGAAGGCAGACACAGAGGGCAGAACAAACACCTAGCTGTGGGAGTGTCACCCACCTGGGGGAGGGGCTACTGCCCTTTGTGATGTCATGAAGGGAAAATCTCCAAACGGCCTGTTTGAGCACACATTTTCTGAAAAGTGGAGCAGGCAAAAGATAGAGAGGATGGACTTTTCTCATCATTGGGGGGTTTGTAGACGGACTAGAGACACATGTTAGAGTTAGAGGAACATGGGGGAGTTTGTCTTGAATAATATGTGACCTTAAAAGACTTATTAAAGTAATTATTTTGTTAATAAGAAAGTTCAGTTTAGTTTTAAACTATCAAACTTTGCAATACTCTGATTGATTTTTGTTCTGTTCTTTTTTCTTTCTTTTCCTTCCCGCTCTGCTGCAGGTTTTACCATCATCATCGAGCCTTTTGAAGACAGAACTCCGACCATCGCCAACCCCGTGCTGCACTTCAGGTTGGTTAAAAGTGACAAACGAACAAATCGTGCAAGATTGTAGTTTCAATGTCTTCATGGGCAAGGCAAACAAATACACTGGAGATAAGTAACGATGCATGATTATTCTGTTGAATGTCTTCAGACCTGTTTTTATTGGCTTTCTTCTGTAAGCATTTATCAAGAACAACTAAGTGTCTTCTTCAATACTTACTAAAACATTCAGCTGCTCCCTGACTGAGGACCAGTTGTGTATCAGAATCAGAAATGCTTTATTAATCTCATTCAGTGTTGCCATTGCTCTTCACACATTACAGTAGGAAATAAAATAAGTGTAAGACTACAAAGACTGATAAAAAGTCACTGTTTACAAATAAAGAATAAAAAACAGTTTCATTGTGTTGTACTTTAAGAGTAGATTAAAACATGTGAAACGATGCAGGATGATACCTGTGTGATGTAAACGTGAACCTCTGAGCCTCGGGGGGTGTGACTGATCAGTTGTTGTCCTCTGTGTCCTCTTCCAGCTGCATGGATCCGTCTATAGCCATCAAACCTGTTTTTCAAAGGTTTCAGTCAGTTGTCATAACCTCGGGGGTAAGTTTAGTCACCACTTTGTTTCCTTTTGCTCCGTTTACAGACGGTCAGTCCTGGAACTGTTGTCTGGTGGTTTTGACATGAAGGAAAAGAAAATGTGTTTATTTCTAAACCCCTAAATTCCCAGACAGCGCAGAGTGGTAAAAACAAAATATTCCAACTTTAAAGATAACCAACTTAGTCTCCCATTATTCCATTTTAGTAGTTGAGGAAAATATAGTTTGTTAAATGTTCACCATGTAGTAAGAAAACAACATTTTGTTCACATCAGTGGCCTTCATTTTTAACGCTCGTTAAAGGAGTTATCAGCTGGTTAGTGACACGTTTGGCTGTTACAATAAAGTGAGACAACACTACTTACTCATGTACATGTACTGTTGGTGTGCTTCTCCTCTTTCACCCTCTTCTTCAGACTCTCTCTCCGCTCGACATCTATCCCAAAATCCTCGACTTCCGCCCGGTTACCATGGCGTCCTTCACCATGACGCTGGCCCGGACCTGCCTCTGTCCTCTGGTGCGTCTCTCTACACTCAAAGACTAAAAACTGACCAATGATGTCACAGAGAGGAAGCTGCAGGCGTAACGCGTTGTTCGCTCACAATAAAGTTACAGTGAAGTCGTTTTCAGTGTGCTTCGGGTTGTAGATTTAATTTTTCATGGCATGTTCCTGCAACCGTGCTCACCTGAGAACCTTTAGGCTGTGCATGAGGTCTCCTGTTGGTCATTTAGATTAGAGGAAGAAAAAACACATTTCATGCACTCTGACTTCTTTTAGTTTCACCACGCTGAACTGGCAGCATAACAACAATCTTTGCATTTTTTTTATTTAATTTAATTAATTAATTAATGTATTTATTTTTATTTTATGTTAAGTTGCATTACTACAACTTTTTTTGTGGGGGATGGGGGGGCATACATCCACGACCCGCTAAAAATGACCCCTCAACTGTATAAGTAAACTATTCTATACTATATAATATAGTACATATTACATATTACACATTATACATAACTACATGTTCATGTTTTTTGACTCCTTTATTTCTTCCCTGATCTAGATTGTCGGCAGAGGAAACGATCAGGTGGCACTCAGCTCAAAGTTTGAGACCAGAGAAGACTTTGGTGAGTAGATACGTCTTTAATTATTGAAATCAACCCTGATCTAGAGAAGCTTATTCATGCCTTTGTCTTTCCACGTTTGGACTACCCTAACCCCCTAACTCGCTTTAGTCGGTCCTCAATGGACTCCAGCAAGTGAATACAAACCGTAGCTCCCACATTACCCCGATCCTTTCCTCCCTCCATTGGCTGCCCGTTACTTACAGGGTTGATTTTAAAATTCTCTCAACTTTTAAAACACAACACGGTCTAGCCCCCCCCCTTACATTACAGAACTTTTAACCCCCTATGCTCCAAGCCGAGGTCTTAGATCATCAAGAGCACCTCTGTTAGTCGTTCCTAGATCTAGGCTGGTAACCGAGGGCGACCGGGCATTTGCCGTCGGAGCCCCTAAGCTCTGGAACTCCCTACCCAAAGAAATTAGGCTGGCAGACTCTGTTCCTATTTTTAAATCCTTTCTCAAAACACATTTTTATAGGAAGGCCTTTTTAACGATTGATTAGTAATTAATGTCCTGCTTTAATGAATTTAATCCATTTTTATAACTCACTGATGTTTTGTCCTCATTATTTTGTGAAGCACTTTTAATGTATGTTTTATTTAGTTTGATTGTATAAATTCTGTAAAGCACTTTGTAACCTTGTTTAGATAAGTGCTTTATAAATAAAGTTATTATTATTATTTAATTGTTGTCGTAGATAATTCTGTCCTAAAGACGTTTATCTATTTGTTGAAATTTTTCACTTTTACATAAATACATTCACTCACTTTCAAAGGATCGTATCTGTAAACAGTATTATTATTCTGTGTTCAAGTGCAATGTCATCATTTCTTTGTTTCCAGCTGTGATCCGTAACTACGGCAACCTTCTCCTCGAGATGTCTGCAATCGTTCCTGATGGCATCGTTGCGTTTTTCACCAGCTACGTGTACATGGAGAACATCGTGGCGTCTTGGTATGAACAGGTGAGTGTGTGGACAGACACAGACACACACACCTGAGAGGTGGAGCTAGTTCTTTTAGACCTGAATCCACATTTATCTTATGAATAATAACACTTTGTTTTTTTCTTTGTGTATGTGAAGAAGACCACATGTGTTTAATGTGTTTTTGTACATGTTTGTTTTCAGGGTATCTTGGAGAATATTCAGAGAAACAAACTGATCTTCATTGAGACTCCGGACGCTGCAGAGACCAGCATGGCCCTGGAGAAATACCAGGAGGTCAGTGAGACTCCGGTCGTCTCACTTTTTATGCATTAAGATTCTAAAATAAGTTACAAATATCCAAAGTTAGGAGCCACAGCTGCCTCTGTGACAAAAAATACCTGTGGTGATCCATTTAGAAATTTGCACTCTATATAAAGAATTGTAAGATGGTAATGTTATTTCTAACTGTTCTCCCAGTGTTTCCCACTTTCCTGATCATGGACGGTTCTCTCTGTCTCTTCTTTTCAGGCGTGTGAGAACGGCAGAGGAGCCATCCTCCTGTCGGTGGCCAGAGGAAAGGTTTCTGAAGGAATAGATTTTGGTAAATGTTGAGGAGGCTGCAGGTTACAGAGGTTATTAAAGAGGAAACCCCCTGTGGGGACACGTGGAAGCAGTCGAAAAAGAATAAAAGGAAAAAACAAACAGTGAAAGCAACACGTTTGATTTATTCTTTGTTATAAATCCACAAATCTTTAAGGCAGGGTTAGACATTTTCTCTAGATAAACTTTTGAAGATTTTGGTTGAACTTTCAAAATCATGCTAGTTTAAAAACAAATTACCAACCCTGCCTTTAAGTCGGTTGTATGTTGCAAAGTTGAAGTCAAATTGTCAACATAATAACCACATATCTTGTTCTGTTTTCTGTTCAGTTCATCACTTTGGCCGAGCAGTCATCATGTTTGGAGTGCCTTATGTTTACACCCAGAGCCGCATCCTGAAGGTCAGAACCATCACTGTGTGCACTCTTACTATAAAACACACCATGTTTACTTCCATTTTATTGTACTTATTGTTTTTGAGAGGGAAACTTATATCACCTACACAAATTATTTCATGAATAGATTTAGAGTGCAGTCTTACAGATTTACATGTTTCAGTCAGTGTCCTCTGCAGGTGTGTTACATACTAGTACTGGCGCATTTTGCAGCGAGCAACCCAGCATGCTTTTTACATTTTCTAATCTGATTCAGATCC